GTACACTGAGAGGCATAACCAAGTGGATGGAATAGTGCACAGGATCATCTGTACCGAGCATGGATTAGAGGTGCCCAAGTGGGACATGCCACTGAAAGTGGTTGAGAACAACAGAGCTCCTGAGGGACTTCAAGTTCCAGACTGACAAACAGCTGCTGACTCACCATACGTATTGGTGTATGACAAGGAGCAGAGGGGGGCAGTAGGGACACTATCATCAGGAAGAAGGAGCATGAGAAGATCGAGTAGCACCAGGGGCTGAAAGAACATCTGGAGCAGAGGTGAGTTCCAAGTATATCCCTTGTGGTAATAGGGGGGGACAGAAGTCTCTGTCCAGACGTGTGCGGTCCTAGGAACATCTAAGCTACTGCACAGAACCCCCAAACTTGAAATGCGATCCAGGAATATGGGTTGACAAACAGATGCATGGGTTCGTAGTCTCATCAGATGCAATGATACACGGTGTCAAGTGGATTTTAATCCTAATATGGATTTTACAATGCATTCTGCAATTTACAACCTGTGCTATAAATAAATATGCTTGGAATGTGCACAGAAACATTTTTGATTGGCCAGAGCAGAAGACGTTGGGTTGTCTTGGAGCAACAGCTGAGTCAGATTCAATATCAGTTATTTTGATCCAACACTAAATACTCTTAACAGTTACAAGACAGATTTTCATCAAGCTTTCCAAATAGGGAAGTGGTCTCAGACTCTTGGACACAACTGCATGGACACACTTTTCATTTGACACATTTAAATCAGTTAGAATTACATTGTACTTACCAAAGTATGTGCTGAGATTGTCTTGTTTGCCTGGGGAATAGGGTAATCTGGATTTTTTTTAAATCAATTTTACTTCAAAATTAAGTTATCTACATAGTTTCATTGTTAAAGAATTGTAAATCTGTACCATTTGTGTTTCTTTGGCTCTGGCTATAATAATGTTCAAAACATTCACCCAAACATGACGATTGTTAATGCTCTGACAATTTACAATGTTTGTCTTAAATTTCAAAAGTAGATTGTGAGGAACATTTTATCCTCGAGGCCATTTTTTTTTTTTTTACTGTGACACCTGACTGATTGTGCCGTGTAGTTGCACATGGTACCAGCGTGATCCAGCAATCCCAAGAGGCAGTAAAGAATTGCTGTCTGCAATTTGCCAGAATACATGCAATGTTACATCGGTAAAGGGTGTCTATAAAATCTGTTGGCAGCAGCTACAGCCATCAATGCTGCTCTGTAATCAACACTTTAGACTCGTAAGAAAGGTGTAAACTCTGCTGAGCTTTAAAGAGCTGCTCATTGACTTAAAAAAGCCTGGGTTATAGTCCACAGTTTCCTATGGTTTAAACTAGAGCTGATTGATTAGTCTCACTAGATTCTCTCCAGGACAGCAGGGTAAGAAAACTACATTTATTCAATTAAAAGACAACGGAACTTAGATGACAATCCAACATGAACTAAAACAAGAGTGCTACATGTGTCCTAAATGCTATTCAACATAAAGTTTTATGATAAAACGGGGTCTGTAAATGAATGTAAACCTAAATGAAACGCAAAGTGAAAATGAAAGGATGAGTAAAAAATGATGTGGAGAGAGCTGGTGTGGGGGTGGGTTCACCCATCATCACACTAAACCAAGACAGTAAACATAGTTTATGAGAAGATCTGCTAAAAAACAGTGTGTTAGCATTAACGTTATCACTGACTGTAAAGATGGACGACCTTCTCTCCCCACGTCTCTGGTATGAACGCTGCCATCTTGCTCCGAGTCTGCGCAGCATTGATCTAGGAGTGGTACATTTACTCGGCCAATTATGAGTCAGTCATCAATCAATGTATTTGACGTGTCCTTTGAATTTTACTTTGGTCCTTGTCCCATCTCCTAACATGGAGTAGGTGGGTTTTGTGACCTACACTTCAGCCGGCCTCTATGCCACAAAGAATGTATTTCCGCTTCATTTAAGGGTAGATCTCATGTCGACAATCTTTACAAAAACTCCATGGTTGTTGTGTCTGAGCACGTTAGCATTAGTATTCAGCTCAGCTACGCTGCGCCTCTGTGCAGCCTGGTGTGACTTTAGAATTTGAATTCTAGAGTTGTTTCAAACTACCAGGTGTGATAACAGGAAACCTGTTGTTGCAACAATATCTTATGTGTTCAATTTTTATATTGTTGCAAAATTCTGCACTGAAGCATCTTGGTAATACTAATGCTGCTTTCAAGACATTCACTGAATTACGGAGATCCACAGGACGTGTATGTGGGAACACAAAAGTCAGAGTGAGAGCCTCCAGAGTTTCTGCGGACTTTCTCTGCCTGACCCATATTGTTACAAAATTTAACAAAACATTTGACAATTTGCTTGAGTAAACAGTGCAAGGACACATGGAACAAGCTCTATTGCTACATGTTCATTATTTGCATGTTCAGTGGACATTCCTTGATTTGCAGACATTCCTTGATTTACAGTGTGCAACTAGTCTATTGTTTGCTAATGTATTAGCTGTAACACATCTATAAAGGTGATAATACATCTTTTTAATGGAATATTCTGACCCCAAGTGGAAATAAATCAATACCCTTTATTACTGAACTATCTCAACTTTTTTTCTTCTTTGCTGACTGTGGAACTTTAAATGCAGTTTCAGAGGCTTCCATTGTTACATAAATACAGAGTTGGCTCAAATCCTGGTTATTTTGGGGACTTGTATCCATTAGTAAGAAGATAAATCCAAAAATATTGGTACTAGGTTTCAAAAACAATGGACAACCTGCGGTATTCTGTAGGTAATCCTTCATAAAATAATATCAAATAAATGTACAGGACTGTATAAAAGAACCTGAACATTTTAACAAGAACATCATTTAAAACCTTTCCTTTACTCAACACATGGTTTGTCACTGTCACTTCATTTTTAGGTCAAGCACATGTTTAATCTCCTGGAAAAGGATGACAGAGTTTGCTTATGGTCCTTTTCTCCTCTGATGCTATAGATAGAGTCATACACCAATTCCAAGATGTCACGCTTGTGCATCTATTCTCCGCTTAATCTACGATAGGCAATGCTGACACAATTCCGGTTTTGTCTGCCTCTTTTCACGGCTTCTCACTCTCTCTGGCGTCTTTTTCAGAGACTTTTCCATCATCTTCTTTGACTCGGTAAAGGAAGGAAACCCTATCTCCAGTGCACAGAACACCTCTGTAATTTACTCAGAAAGGATCATCTCCTACAACCACACAATGACTCCTGCTGTTCATTTTCTCAACCTTTAGCCCTCAGCTGGCCCCCCAGCAGCTCCACATTCAGCTGCTTATGTCAGGATGTTTCCCCTTTTGTACTCGGCACACACAAACCCGTTCATCCCGGTGTCCATTTCGGCCTTGTGAATAGTGTGTGTCCATTTTTTTTTTTGTGCTTGTATAACCCAAATCCTCACCCCCTTCCACCTAATACAGCGTGTCTGCCGGTGTTAGGGGCTACAAAAAGATAGGAATGTAATAACCAGCGAGCCCCGGTGCCCTGTCAGCACGGCTCAGGCTCCAGAGAGGCCTGCCCATCATGGACAGCACAGCACCCATGGCCGCTCAGATTACACCGGTCAGGCCAACACATGAAGTCAGAGATTATAGCAGCAGACCCACAGTGTTTCCTCCATCTGCTCATACACCCGAGACCCTCATCTCCAGCTTCAGGCCGTAGAGAGGCGAGCAGACAGCGCACTCTGGTGGTGAAACACTGACACAACAGTTCACTTTTTTTCCCGTTTTAATTTGATATTAAAACACATTACAAAGTCTTTATGCAAATACCCTCATTTGTTAAATTAAATTATTGTTAAAGCACAAGTCTTGAACAGGTCTTTGTCGATATGAGCTAAAGCCAAGAGGATAATTTCATCCAGGTTTGCACCAGATGGAAAACTAATAAATAAAACTACTTTACAAGTGTAAAATACAGGCATACCACATTTGACATTAAGTATATAAAGGTTCTTTTATACATTGACTTAAACACTCAGTCCAGTAGCTCACTCTACCTATGATACTGAAAAAACAGAGAAAGAAAAAAGAACATGTGTTTTGTGAGGTAGCCCAGGTGGCAAGAAACCACTGACAGGGCAGAAACCATACAATCCTAATGGCCATTTTAACTGTGCACTGGGAAATGTGTGTCATACCCAACAGTGTGGCCAAGTTCTGAAGAAATGTTTAGAGAGCTGGCGTTGTTGCAAACATCTTCCTGTAGTCCTGAAGGGACGTCATGCAATGCAAAAACAACACAGCTTGGACGCGACACTACGACACAACAGACAATTGATCTGAGCCTCAAGGGACAGCAACACTGTAAATGGTAATGAGCCTGATCATCAGTAGAGGGATGTGAGGTTAAATACCTGCTGCTGCAGAGTCAGTATAACATGAACAGCTCAATCAACAGCACCATTAAAGCCCCACATGTACTTTGCATTGACCCTGAATTCCCTGTTCATCATTTCGTTGCTGTTAGTCTCACTTTGTTTTTATTAGTCATGAAATCACTGCACCAACCAGCGTTATTACTGAGATCTGCAGATTGCAACACGTCTTTTAACAGATTTTATATGAGTGGTGAGATGATCACACAGGCTGTAAACACAGAAACATTTTGTCTATTATTTAAACCTGGGGTTCAAAACATGAAGGATTTACGGACTGATATCACAACCATACATTCTGTTTGACTCGAGACTTTGACTTTTTAGCAGTGAACAGATTTATTTCAGCTTTATTTGAAGGTAAAAACAAAAGTGAGCGCACGTTTAAATCTGATTGAATTCTACAGCAGTATTTATAGCAAGCTGGGGTTGAAACACTAAGTTGTTCTGTTTGCAGCAGATTTTCATGTCCCTGTTTGCAGTCTTTTTTTCCTTCAAATAAGTTTAGTTAGCCTGGAGGTTATTTTTGCAACCTCTCTCCAACACTTCTGACTTCTGCTGTGTGGTGTTTACGTAGCCACATCTCAAGAGTTAAAATAGCCAACAGAAATTATGGCCTGATCTAGAAAAACAAAAGCCAAGCTATGATAAACTGCAACTATCTTTTTAATACAAAACAATCAGGAGAATACATCGGGGTTCTTTGTTGTGATGCCTCTTTTTCAATAAAAATAAACAAGTTGAGAAGAGCATGTACACACACATCCACGCACGCAGACACACACACTTGCACCAAAAAGGGAAAATGACTACCCTTGCACTTGGTCTAATGCCAAGTCAATTTGTGGTTTTGGAAATTTGGTGTATTTACAGTTTCAAGTCTGTGATGATTGCTCAGTTCATACCTGCTATGCTGGATAAAAGAGTGTGTCTCATTTCACCTGGTTTTCTTCCTGAGTGTTTCCTCCAATCACAACTATCTGTACATTTGACAACTGTCCGCTGGCATCCAGCTGCAGCCCTTGAACCCCCTCAGTCTGCCCCTGCTGTATTTGGCACTGCGTCTCCTCTCCAGCCATCGTCACCTCTATCCCACTCTGGACAGCCATGGCTGCCTCGTCTCTGCCCTGCTCCCCAGTCAGCTGCAGCTCCATCACCCCCACCGCTTGCTCCACTGGAGCTGGGTTGATCTCGATGACCGTGTGATCCTGGACTGTGTCCACCTCCCCCTGCATCATCTCCTGCTGCACCAGCATGGTTCCGTCCATTACCTGGCCTTCTATGGGCACCACCTCTGTGCTGCCGCTCTGCTGGCTGAGGTGCACTAGCTCTACCGGGCTCATCATCGTGCCCAGCTGGCAGGAGTCCTGCATAGCGGTGGTACCCACCAGCGTGAGGCCCGAAGACGGATGTAGGGTGATGGTGTCCGTCTTTCCGTCATTGGTAACCATGTAGCGGGTGAAGAGCTGCGAGCCAGCGGGAAGCAGGGTGACTGTTTTGGAGGACTGGCCTAGGGAGGCAATAGGTAGGCCTGCTACGGTGAAGGGCTGACCCACCGAGGACAGAGAGAGGGGTGAGAGAACGGTGAACTGCTGGGGCTGCAGGGTGGCCTGCTGGTTGATGGGGGAGGTCAGGAGGGTGGTGGTGGAGGCAGGCCTCTGCAGACGAGGCCGCTTGGTCTGGCGCTTGGTGGGAGTTTTGTTCTTGGCAGGCTGCGGGCAGGAAAGAAGAGCTCGGACCTGCTGCTGTTTCCTCTGTTCCTCCAGTTGCATCTCCAGGTCTACACGGAGCAAACAACACAGCACTGAAAATGGAGGCTGAGTAACAACAACGGATAAACAAATATGTCACATTCATTTTCAGGACAACATTCTTCTTAATGATTCGATTTTGTGTCCTGATATTGGTATATGTGAGATTTATATCCAGCCGGGATGGTTGACATGCTTAAACCCACAAATGTCAAGTCCAACATCTCAAGGCAACAACACTGACTCAGTAGAAATGTCAGTAACACCTGACTGCAGCAGGACGCCACCCACAACATATGGGCCGTTGCCTCATTTAAATAATCCAGTTTGCCACAACAGAGCTTGAGTTTGCATCTTCACTGTGTTTTCTTCGTCTTACGACACATTTCAGGTCACAGCAGAACACAATGATGCATCGTCATCATGTTTGATATGAATATTTAGCAGGATTAAGATACTGGGATTAGTTTTTCTCTCAAAACAACTGCTGATCCAGAGCCAGATGGCAGCGGATATGTTTGCATTTGTAAATATTTCACTGCAACATTTTATCACAGATTTGATATAATATGAATACCACATCAAATACAGGAGGTTTAAAACTAGCCATTTTTAATTTAAGACAAAAAAACTAAAAAGTGAATTTCTAATTGCATTCTCCCCTTTACAAGTAGTTGGGGCTCTCTATCAGGTATTCAC